TGGATTTCTACTACTCCATCTTGATACAAAAAAATGTGGGAATCTTCCACAGAAAGGAAGGAAGTAATCAATTTTAAAATAGTAACTCTTTACAAGGATGCGTAGATCATGCAAAGAAGTAACTTTCATACACACGAACTGGAAGAAAAAGCCCTACTGAAACAGCTACTTTCATATAAACATTGAATTACAAGAAAGAAAAATTCTTTCGAAACAAATATTTTTATATGAACACTGAATTACATAGAAGACACTTTTCTCTATTCAGTTTGTATTCCAAAGGTTCGTTTTTTTTCTTTGTTTTTATTTTTTATTGTTGTTGGGAATTTAATCGTGGATTTTACAGGTAGGTAGCTTAAATACTAAATCGGTAATACCTTCTCTAAGGGATATTAAATTATTAATTTCTGAGTGTTCCTTTGATATTTTACTTATATGTGAATCTTGGCTCACAAGCAAGATAAATAAGTGATGATGATATTCTCATTGAGGATTATAAGTTGTACAGATTGGATCGAGGTAACAGAGGTGGAGGGTGGTGCATTTTTCTGAAGGAAAGAAAATGCATTTGGGGTGATATATAAGCCACCTACTTTTGATAATGCAGATTTCATAGATGTGTTTGAAGATGTCCTGGGTCTTATATATCCGACAGTAGATGGCATTACTTGTGGGGGATATTTCAATATTCATTTTTAAGATTATGACAACAATACCGAAACCATAATGTCAGTTATACAGTACTTTGATTTAGATTAAATGATAGATGTCCCAACAAGATTAACTAAAACAACACGAAAAAATATATTTTTCAGTTAACTGTTTTACCAATCTTTTCGATAGACATGCTCCCTTGAAAACATCAAGAATAACTAAGAAGCGATCCTCTTGGCTAACTGGATCAATAAAAGAAATGAGGGATAAAGCTGTCAGTAGATTTAAAAGAACAAACTCAAAAATTCATTTTCAGTTCTATAAGGACATGCGGAACGTCATTAATCAGGCGAATGAAAGGGAAAAAAGGCATATTTCATCTTAGAGCTTAACAAAAAGAACAACAAAGATCTCTGGAAAGCCATAAGATCTAATGAGTTCATACCAAATACATTTCACAGCATTCCAGATAATTTGAAGAATTCCTCACAGTTGAATGATTTTTTTTTGTTAACTCAATTCTTATTAATAAACCACCCCCTGAACTCACCTCTTGATAGACTTTGACTTCAAATTTCAAGAAGTGCAGGGTATGTTTGTTTTCGAAACGATTTCTGAACTCATAAAAATGTGCTGTCTATATATAATTCCATGTGTAACGCATATCCTGAATTTTTGTTTGAATAATAATATTTTTCCCACGGTATGGAAGAGAGCAGTTGTGAATATAGTGAAAATAGTTCCAGAAAAAAACGAATCCATTAAATAACAAAAATCTACGTGCCATTAGTTTATTACCAACTTTGTCAAAAGTTCTTGAAAGAGTTATTGAGGTCAGTTGAAAGAACACATTGACAATTTCTCTATACTTCCAATCACTTAATATGGATTTCGTAAAGGGCATAGTTCCATAGTTGTGCAACTGTTTTGTTAGATATAGTGGTCGACAGTATTTGAGCACGTGACGCAAACAATAATACAGTATTGGTGCTTCTTGATTTTAGTAGAGCGTTCAATACTATTAACTTTAACACTAATCTAACACTAATCAGAACATATATCACTGACCGATAGCAAAACAATATTTAAAGCTGATATATGGGGTGCCACAGGGTTCTATTTTGGTACTCCTTTTGTTTGCCATTTACACATCTTAACTTGCTAAATGTATGAAATTTGGAATATACATTTCTATGCAAACAACGCCCAGTTGTATTATAGTGTCCCACCTGAAATGCTAGATAATGCGTGTGCCCAAATTAATAGTGACTTAAAGTTTTTTGTGAAAAATGCTTGTGATCACTGCCTAAATATGAATTGTAGTAAATCAAATGTTATTGTTTTCGGACCGAAAAGCTCTAGATATGATATTTGCAAATCTGTGAAAAGAGTAGTAAATGATTATGCACTTGAGGTTGTCCCAGAAGCCAAAAGCCGGGGCGTTATTTCAGATATGGACTTGAAATTCGAAAGTCTCGTTATTCAATTTATTAGGCGTGCATATTGTTCCCTGAAAATTATATACGGACACCGCAATTTCCTACCCATGAAGGATAAGGTGAATTTGTGTGAATCGTTAGTTTTATCTATATTCAATTATGCTGATGTTTTGTATTGTCCATGTTTAACCAACCAATTCAAGGATAAAATACAAAAAATTCAGAATTCCTGCTCAAGGTTTATTTTTGGAATTGTCTTCATACAAATTGAACTTCGCCCTTTGTCAAATTGTACCTGATTATTTTTCTTGAAAAATTTATTTGAAGATAATGAAGATGATATTATTATTATTATTATGTTCCCCATGAGTGAAAAAAGATACAATATTGAGGAATATACTATCAGAGACATAGCTGAAAGCAACGAGTATTCTTCAAAAATATAAATAAGTTAGGTTGGAAACGTAAATTTAGGAAGAATCTCAGAAAGGACTCGATTCGAAGTTCATTGAAGCAAGATACACTAACGGACTATATCGAATTTTCAGAAAGTTGAATGTAAAAGTAGCATTCAAAACTTCTTGCTAACTCCAACAAATGTAAGATAAATCTAAAGCAATATATTGGAAAATGTTAAAGTCGGGAATGTATGAACTGAGCTGATAGGACTGTTACAAAAAATACATCGGTTGGATTAAGCGAACTTTTCTCGTGAAATTCTTTCAAAGAACACGCAGCAAATATCCGATTTCGAAGACCAGAAAAATGTAAAGTCATTCAGCATACCTTTGAGAACGGCCGTAGAATACATGAAATTGTTGAGATCGGTACACACTAGATTTTTGAATGCTTTCAAAAATCTGGAAATAGCAGAGTGTGACACGAAGACTGACTATGAATAGTGACAAAGGTCCAATTGCAAACAGCTCATTTTTAAAATTAGCAAGAACTTCCACGAGAAAATTTCTCGAGAATTTATACCAGAATCATTGATGTGTGTCTGAAAGTAAAAGTACCATGTTAGATATAAATAGACACCAGTTTTGGAGTTAGTGAATGGTGTACTTTATATCCTGAAGACACCAACTTGGTTGATGAAACCCGCGACGAGAAGAGTGTTGCGTTCGACTGTTTGGGAACAGTGCTTGTTTTGGATTTATGCTATGCCAGAGGTTTCAGTTCCACCTTTCATTTCAGTATTGAATGGTGATGTTGGAGGTACAACTTCGATATGCCGCACCGTTATGTTACTGTCATTATATTCAATATTTATTAGCACGGGTAGCACCTCCGTATCGGCTTAGCACAAATATCACCGCTCTCCCGGCTTCAAACGAGTGCATCTTCGGATTCGCACGGATGATGAAAGCTTCATAACAGAATCATAAAGAAAGTCGCCAACATCATTTTTGAATCCTTCCTGAAGTACTTCTGAGGCAATCATGGACCTTTCTTTATGTTCTTTATTTTTATGAATCTTCCTTTATAATTTAATTGTATCTCTTAACAATCTAGTTCTGCCACCCGTGGCCTCGCAATCTGTGTTCAAGTCTCCTGGTTTTCCTTCTAGTCTCAGTTTCTCAGAGAGAACCTGAAGTGTATCGGTCAATTTAATATTAATTTTCAAGTCCCTTGCCGTTTACTGCTGCCTAAAATTATGGATGAATCTTGTTCTATGTTCAATAGAAAGTCGGAGGCTTCAGGGTTTTACCTTTTACTGATCTTTCTAAACGTGTCTCGTTGAAACAGGTATATTTTGCCCAATTTAGAGCACATTAGCTGGCCTTGAGGATATACTATAGATAGATGGTCTTTCAGTTTTTGAATCTGCGCGTCAAAATTCTTGTTGAACTTTTCTATAACTTGTTTGTTCAACTTGCCCGTTTGCTGAAATTTGCTACATTTTGTCAACTACATGCTCTGTAGTTGAATAAAAGAATTTATTTATTCATCACTGAAGAATTTACATATACATACAAGAGAATACATATATACATGCAAAAAACTTCGGACTAGTCACAAAGCAATGAAGAAAATTCAGAAATATACAATTTAAAATATAGAAAATATACAAACAATTAGATTAAAATTATCTTCAATGTAGCGTCTAAAAACTCTTCAATGGAGCAAAATGACTGATTTATTAGATAACGAGTCAGATTATCCTTCAACACATTTGCACTCGCTGAGTCTAAGTGTGAGAATATATTCATAAGTCGGTTATAGCACCTGATTCCTTGGTATATGTGAGAATCCTGACCAATGCTCAATCTTGAGTATGGTTGGTGGATGCTCTCACCATTTCTCATTTTGTATTTGTGTAAATCACATCTTCTACTCAGGTTATTTTCTTCTTTTTTGACATTGATGATAATCAGAAGAATGTAAAGTGAAGGGACTGTTAAAATTGAGAGTTGTTTGAATATGTTTCTACAAGAGGTTCCACTAGCTACACCAGCCATACATCTAATTATTTTTTTTTGGATAATGAATACTTTATTCATATGTACTGAATTTCCCCAAAAAATCAATCCGTTGCTCAATGCAGATTGTAAGTCCAAAGTACGCTAATTTAAGTATGTCTAATGATATTGTGCCCTTGAGTAGTCTGATAATAGTACAAATTGTACTGAATTTATTTGTTACATCATGTCCTGTAAAACATTTTGTCTTGCATTTAACATAACATAAAACATACTTCACCATCACTTTATTATTTCATATATTTCACTGATTTACTCCTCTTGCCAATGATGTGACTTGCACTGAACTAAAGTGTTCATAATTTATGCAACAGAAGCGTCACGAATGACTCACCGTCGTCTCCAGCTTACTTATTTCTCGATTCTTCTTCATACAATCCACGTTGAGTTTAGTAACGTTTCATAATAACTTCTCTTTTTTTAGGAATAGATATGGAGAAAGGAAGAGAAGGAGGAATGTGGCTTGGATTTTCATCAAATAAACAAAAACATGGAAAACACATTCATTGTTTCTCTGCACTTCTGAATTTATCTGGGGAAACAACGAAGAATGCTTCTGGAAGAGGCTCAATCGTTAAAGACTATTTGGAAGGTCCCAAAGATTTTCCTCAGTATGTGAAACGATTAGGAGAAAACATATTCAATGGATTCAATTTGGTTGGAGTTGAACTAAGGTACAGGCCTATTGACTAATTTATTATTTTATTGCAAATACAACGGAATATCCTTTGTTATATTCGAAATATTTTTATATTTAAATGAAGTTTAACCACTGAAAAAAACAGTTTTTCATAAAATAAATTGTACATATAAATATTTGCAGAATGATATAATATTGGAAATATGTTTCTAGCAACAATAAACGGGGTAAATGTTTAAATTATAATTTCCAGTGAAAACGATCTGAAAACCTTCCACTACAGTAATAATCCAAAAATTGATTGTGTTTATTCGGGAAAACATACGTTAGCATTTGGGAACAACCCCCCGTACAATCCTTCACAAAAAGTATTAAGAGGAAGGAGAAAGTTCATTGAAATAATAGAGAAAAATTTCGATGAGAAGTCTCTAGAGGAAGAATTGATAAAACTATTGAAGGATACCACGAGGTAAGTTATGTCCCTATATACAATTATTTCTAATTGAAGCTGCCGGTTATCAGTTACATTCCATTAAAAGCGCCTAATGTTTTTCATTCAAATATAATCTCGTACAAAACTTTTATTTATCGAGTAATTATCACTTCATTGTTCTTAGTTCTCGACACCCATACAGATTAAAAACACTGAAAATGACATTGAAAATACATACTAATGTAATATCAAATCTGAAATTTGAAAACCAGTTGAAAAAAAAATAGTAAAATGAACTAAAAAAATAACTCAGTGATTTTCACTAATAAAATTATTCATAAAAAAAATGCGTTATTAGTGATAACAGTATACCTTGATAATAAACGGAATTCCACATTCCTCAAATCATTAATATGAGTAGTAAAACTTTCAAATATAATTAAAATATAGTTTCATAGCAATAGTGTCTTCAGTAGCTTCAAGTGGGGTGGGAAACTTAATACATTAAAGACTTCATTCAATGAAAGGAGTATTCAACTGAAGAGTTGACTAGTTTAATAGTATTTCATCGGTTTACATCATTTGCTCTTGCTATCGTGTCTAAGTAAAGTGACCTCTCCACCTGTTTCGGTGAGCAGATGGAAACTTCTGGAACGTTCTGCACCTATATTTCTACTCAAGGGTAGTCTACGCGTCGTTTGTCTGTAGCCTCTAATTGAGTTAGTTATGGCTGGATCATACACTACATTTACTTTCACATATTTTTTCTTCGAGAAAGTTGTCACAATGTAAGTAGTATGTCTATGGGTCTTCTAAGCCATAACTTTTGGCCTAGAATTCCCATACCTTTTGGCGGTGAAGTGTAAACTGCATAGGATTTCAAGATGCCCTAGAAACCCCATACGATTTCATGATCCACCTACACCGATTAATGAAACAAGTTTCCATCATTCGGAATCGAACCGCGGTTGCCTTAATAAGAGATCGATTATTAGCTTTCGTCAATGGGGTATTTCACCGGATTAAGATTAGTTGGTCCTATGATAGTCACGGCGGAGACATCAAGATTAAGTTGATCCTATGATGGTCACGGTGGCATATTGTAGGATACATGTCCTATGATGATTGCAGCGGCATGGGCGAAGGTGCTTTTCTTGTCAGATGGGGGTTGACGTGAATTGTAATTTCATGCCGGGTGGGTGTATTTCGTGAAGTGTGGCCAAAGAATGAGTCAAACAAATTAATAGAGGAGAAACCTCACAACAAAGTTATAGAATCTAGCTGCAAAGTATTGTATTTGTGCAAGAAAGCTAAAGGTCAATACATATTCTTTTTGAAGAATCAAAAACTCTCAATAAAAATACCTAATCGATCTTCGACACTGCCATCGACTATCGAAAATTTTGCATTTTCAAGTCGTCTTCGTGTAAGACACTGTACCAAAGTCTTCTCGACGACGTGAATGCGCTGTCTTCAATTCACCCCCACACTCCACAGTAAACACCCATCCAACATACAATCACACTTCACGTCATCCCCCTTGCGACATAAAAACACAGACGCACATACCGCCGCGACCATGATAAACACATTATAGAAATTATATCAACAACCTGTTCTCGGAGCGATGGAAACTTTTTCCATAAATCGCAATCGGCGGATCGTAAAAGATTTCTAGGCCAGCCAGAACGTATGGGAATTCAGGCGTCGATAATCCCTTGTTCAATTGATAACTTTCATATCTCAATGTCATTTGACAATTATTTGTTTTAATGCTCTCCTAATTTATACTTAATGAAATTCAGTAGAATTTCCAACTAGTTCGTATACATAAAAATATGAAAGGTTGCGAATATTACTCGAAACGTTTCCATCATCATCCATTGCTATTTCATACTAATTGACTACATACACTGTTCTTAAAGCTCACCAGCGTTGACTTTTTGTCAAATTTTATCTTAATCCCGTCGCTGGAAAGCTGTTTTAAAAAAAATCTGTTTAAAATCTGTTTTTCCGGTAATCAGCTGTCGCCCCCATACGAACGACAACTCTCAGAAGTTGAGAAAGTTGTGCGAGCTAAGGACTAACGAGGTCTTACCTTTTAACGTGTGATCCCTAACACGGTTGCAGAATCATCCCAGCTTCAACCAGATAAATTCTCTAGAGAAAAATATCTGGTCGAGGCAGGAATCGAACCCACGGTCTTCCGATCGTGAGTCGGGCGCACTACCACCGCGGCCAATTTGAATGTTGCAAATTTGTGCAAAATTTCCAGTTTCTCCTACAAATCATTCACATACTCTGGAAGGAGTATGTCTTGAGATTCATCGGATGGACTGTCACACAATACATCTATCGAAAGCTTCAGTTAATAACATGGATGGTTTGTAACCTGTCGCGTCATATTGGGAGCTCCTTTATGCCAACAGAAAGAGAGAATTCAATTTCTCCAAGTCTCTTTGATTTTCGGAGTCAAACATCGAGAGGTAGTTAGGCGATTATGCCTCTTGACCATTCCATCAGACTGTGGATGAAGATCAGTTGTTCTTGTCTTCTTTATTCCCAACAAAGTCATCATTTCCTTCCATAAATCCGATTCGGAGTTGCGACCCTGATCCGATTATAATTCCTGGGGTACTCCGTGTCTGGTATTAACGTTCTGCAACAGGGCTTCTTCCACCATTTTAGCCTCTTGGTACTTCCTATGACCACATCCTATGACCGGATGTGGTTATAGGAAGTGGTCCCAGAATGTCAACTGCGATTGTCTCGAAAGGGCACCAACTGAGGTACTGCTTTAACCTTCCTGTTTGCCTTTTCTTCGGACCCTTTGATGAAATGAATGAAAACACTTTTGTCTAATTTCCACTACTTCCACTGACGTTGACAAAATTTGCGTCCTGATGTCAGACATGGTTTTCTTGAGAGGCTATCTGCGTTTCCGTGACTCTTTCCTTTACGATGTCGAATTTCAAAATCATAAGTTTGTAACTTTTCGATCCACCTAGCTATTTATCCCTCTGGTGTTTTGAAGTTGAAGAGCCACCGAAGTGCTGACTGGTATGATGTAATCAAGAATTTACGGCCATATAAAAAGGAGTGGTAGCGATCCACCGCTTTGACCACTACGAGGAGCTCTTCTCGTGACGCAGTAATTTCTTTTGAATGTTCCCAGGGATTTACTGAAATAGCTGATGACGACTTCTTATTTTTGTACCTGTGAAAGTACTGCTCCTATTCTTTGTTGGGATGCATTCGTGTCGAGTATAAACAAGCTATTCTCTTTTAGTTATGCCAGAACCGGTGCGCTGGTCAAATGTCTATACAGGGCAGCAAATACTTGCTGGCGGCAGTCTGGGGATCCAGCGAAGTCAAGGTTTGCAGCGGTCTAGCAATTTTTCGAAATTCTGAAAAATAAGAAATAAAACCTTCTATGTTTTCTTGCCATTTTTATTCATAGAGAAAGTTGTTATTACAGTTTCGTCCTATGAGGACATTCTCAAACAATTACACTAAACTGAGTTTGAAGTTGAATATTACTATAATTGTTTAAAAATGTTCTTATAGAACAAAACTGCAGTGACAAAATTAGTTACAAATAAAAGTGATAAAAAAACAGAAAGTTTTATTTATCATTTTTCATGATGATCTCCTACCACGTAGTAACGCTACATTCATTAATTTATTTTCAAAAGTCGTTCACGAAACAAGAGTCCAAGAAAACTTTTTACGTCGTGCTTGCTCTTCGGTGTTGGCCATTCTTGCACTACTTTGATTTTCTCTGAATCCGTTTCAACATCTTTTGAGGCCACAGCGTGTCCCAAAATTTTTCACTTTTTCCTGGAAGACAGAAGAAGTTTGACAGATGTTCATCAAAACTTTTTCCGGTGACTATAATGTTATCAAGATAGGCCAAGCATGTTTTCTAGATGAGTCCTCTCAGCACCAACTCAATCAAGCGTTGAAATGTTGCGGGTGCATTGCCTAATCCGAACGGCATAAACTTAAACTGGTTTATTCCAGTTTGAGTTTACTATTATTTCACACTCCAACTAAACCTTCAAACTAATATTCAAATGTCTATGGACGCACTGCACTGTGGCTTGATTTCTCTTGACTTGTCGATCGGGGTGTGTGTAGCGTTTATATATGGTAATCGAAGTAACTCGAAGCCGATAGGGAATTCGCCAGAAGTATATCAAAGCCGGTAGAATTATTCTCGAATCGACGTGATACCAAGAACGGTCGCGAAGCGCCCATCGAGTTGAGCGCGATCTTAGCCATGTCACAATTGATTTACGACGACCAGCGGCGGCCGGTGTTATTTTTTTGGGGGATGATTTACTACAATACGCAGTAAATCCTGGTATACGGATATATTCGATACACGAGCGATGAATAGATAATAGAATCATTTTTTATTTTTTCAGGAACTTACCAGATTTGGAATTACAGAAAAAATACCCGAAAGATTATGAATCGTTGAGCTCAATATATGTTGAAATGGGTCAAAAAGGATATGGAACTAGGTATATTTCGATATTCAATTACTACTTTGATACATGGTAAAACATTAGACACTTTTTTGTTATAGGACACACAGTGTGATACTAATAAACAAGAATTGGAATCTAACATTTATCGAATATACTATGGTAGAGCCCATTGATACAAGTAATCCCAAATGGAAAGTCACTCGAATTAATTCAAAACTTAGTAGTTAAGTTAAGTAGTTAAGATTTTAATGTAATAAATAAATGTTTACAGTAAAAGGGGTATATTTTTAGAATATATTAATTTTTTAAAAAGAAAGGTTTTGGCTTGTTACTTCTCCAGCTTTATAAAAAAATGTGGGAATCTTCCAAAGAAAGGAAGAGAGCGCGATTACTTTCAAAATAAATTCTTTACAAAGATGTGTAGATCATGCAAAGTAGTAACTTTCAGACACAACTCGGAAGAAAAAGCCCTCTCGAAACAACTACTTCCATATAAACATTGAATTATACGAAAAAAAAACTTTCGAAACAACTATTTTTATATGAACATTGAATTATACAAAAACACTTTTCCTATTCAGTTTTTACTCCAAACATTCGTTATGGTAGTGAATCAGAAATCATTCACCAATCTGGATAACATTAGATACATGATGAAGCACCCAAAATCACGACTTCTTGTCACGAATGAGTTGAATCTACTCATGTCATAGATGATAGTGCGCGATGACATTCATTCGCTTATTTGATTTAATCCCAGCCATAGGAGTCTTATTCAAATTGAAAGTGGTATATTCATGGGAGATATTGAGATTTTGGAAAAAAACGATTTGGACATTCTTTTTTTTATCTTTATACAGAAAATGTGGGAATCTTCCAAAGAAAGATAGATTATATTTAATTTCGAAATAAACTCTATACAAAGATGTGTAGTTCATGCAAAGAATCAACTTTCAGATACGAACTGGAAGAAAAAGCTCTCTCGAAACAACGTATCATATTATATTAATAAACTAACCTTTCGTTAGGAGATTCTGTATTGTTCCGATGAGCATTTTCTTCTCGTTTCATGAAATTTTTCATAACCACTTTCAAAAGCGGTGATAGTTTTACGTTATATGCTCGCTGTCAACAGTATACGTCGACCGCACACTGAACACCGAGTCATGCGAAGAGAGGTCTATACAAAGATGTGTAGATCATGCAAAAAAGTATCATTCAGACCCAAACTGGAAGAAAAAGCGTCCTAGAAACAAATACTTTCATGTAAACATTGAAATGCACGAAAGAAAAATACTCTCGGAATATTTACTTCCATATGAGCAAACATTCTTTGCATGATTTACACATCTTTGTAAAGAGTTTATTTCGAAATTAATTGCTTTCTTTCTTTCTCTGGAAGATTCCCACATTTTTTGTATGAAGTTGGAGAGGTAGAAAGCCAGAACCTTTCTTTCCCAATAATTACATGTTTTTTTTTAAATTTGAAGTCGTTTTCGGAACTAATGAAGGATTATAATCTTTCCATTTCATTGGCATTCGATGAACCTAATCCGACAGCCAGAGAAAATTTTTACAGTAGTTTCGGAAACAATTATCGCATAACATAATAATTCAAAACCACATACGTCTGTGACCTTTCATACTTTCAACAAATAATAAAATAAAGTAAATTACCCAATTAACTATTAGGTAAGAGTTTATGCAGTCTAGTTTCATTCTAGTTTGAGTTCTGTTTCAATTAAATGAATAATATTCAGTCAGAACAACATTGAGCTGAAAGTAATGCAAACATTCAGTAGATCTTATTCCAGTGTCTAAACAGCGTCTGTATTTTATATTTATTTTCAACTATCAACTATTTTTCGCATTCACCATAATGTGGCTTACTGCTGGTCTCTGAATAAATATTGTCAGATTTACTGGATAACCGCACATTTATCATTCGTATCAGTATATCTGAATACTATACAGGGTGCCCTGGAATTCCTCTTTTCCTCCCGGGAATGTATAGATGGGGTCAAAATATCACCAGTACTTCATATAACTTTTGATCCTGAAAATGTTCGTTACCAAGTTACGAGCCCTCAAAGTTACGAAATAAAAAAAGTAACTTACATTGAATTTGAACAGCTGGAGATTAAATCAATTTGGAAAAACGTTCTCAAAAAGTTTATTCCACATAAACGCAGTTCTCCAGTGAAATTTGAGGTGGACTGACTTGAACCTTGAACGATCAGCAGCCACAGTCCGTCGCGTATTTCTGTATGTACCGCTCTTGGTGGAATCAAATGTGCCAAGTCACTTGAACACTTCCCGTGAAAGTATCTATGAAAGAGAGACTAGAGATTTGTCTCTCTTTCTTCGATGCTCCAGGTTATCAAGGTTGAAAGTGATATTTGCGTCCCCAATCAGGCGGCGGATGACTCTTTTCTGGATGGAATCCTGCAGCTTCAGGGTATGCCTAGGGGCGGAGCTCCATACATGACAACAATACTTCAGAGAAGGTCTGATCTGAGCTTTACAAAGCATCAAAAGTTGCTGAGGTGTGTACGGGTTTCTGTTTTTGAACAGTGTTTTAAGCTATTGAGAATCAGCCTTTGCAATTTCAGCGACATGATTGTGCCAATACATATTGGTGTCCATTTTAACCCCCAACAAACTTATCGAAGCAGAAAGCGGAATTGTTTGTCCTGAAATTATTATATCCGGTTCGGAGACATTTTTATTCTTGGAGAAAAACGATTCTTTGTTTTTGTAGTATTGAATTGAACCTGGTTACTTTCTCACTCCAATTCGAAATCACTTCTAGATCATCATCAAGTATGCAACCTCCTGCTGCCGGTGAAGACCCACGGCCGATGTCCTGCAATTCAAATGGAATGACGAGACAAGTGTGTTGTCGTCAGCAAAGCAATATATTGGGTTTTCGGTTTTTTCCAATGAGTCCTTGATATACAATAAAAAGAGAATTGGAGACAATATGGATCCCTGGGGAACATCAGCGTTGATGGTAAAATATTCGAAATTTATCCATCGACGGCCATTTGCAAAAAACGTTCTTTCAGGAAACTGGAGAGTCCTACACAAAAATGATCCGACAAGCCATAGCATCGAAGTTTGGTCAACAAACCCTCATGCAACATACGGTCAAAGGCCTTAGAAATATTAAGCGCAACAGCTCTTGACTCTCCATGTTTCTCGATTGCGTTATTCCAAATATGGGTGATAGATAGTAGACGGTCGCCTGTTGATCTTCCAAATATTCAATGATATGGTGGTTTATGACTCTCTTAATGATTTTTTAAACCACTGATAGTAAAGGGACTGGTCTATAGCTATTTGGAAGATTTTTCTTGCCCTTTTTTGGAATAGGCTGAACGCGAGCAATCTTCCAGCAAGAAGGAAAAAACCCCTTCCTTTGATAACTTTTCCAGACGATGACGGCTACTTCATCAGGACCAGACGCCTAGTAAATATTGAGCTGTTTCAAAGCTCGCTTGACTAGACGTTGTCAAAAAGTAATTTCCGGCATTGTGGATTCCAGTGTGGGAATAGTGGGTGGAAGATTCGCTTTTACTATGGATGTCGTTGCAATTGAACCATCCGCTTGTGTTAGTGGTGAAATTATAGATTTTGTGAAATTTTGATTAACAGGTTCAGCTACCGACCAGAAGGATCTGAACCCGTTGGCATTGGCAAGCAGTTTATACCTAATTATCTGATTGTGAAGTTTTTCGCTTTCGTTTATTCTAAGTTTGCAGCTGTTGCGAGCATTAACAAACCTAGTTCGGTTTTCGGCACTGGGATTTTTGCGCCACTTTCCGAAACCATCCAAAAAAGGTTAAGTATATACATTTGTTCAAACAAGTCTTGACTAACTATCAGAAAAAAAATCTTCCCCTGGCTAATACCACGAAGGGTCAACGCAGGTGTCAGTGCAGGAATCTTCACAGAATTATTTCCTGTATATGCTGTTGGCGATATAACTGGTGGAATAAATTAAATTTTTTTCGTAGTATATTATTCAATTTGTAGGCAAAATTTGTGATTACAAATGACTGACTAATTAGACTCTCGAGTGGTTTATATTATGCAGGAACTTTTCGGGGTGAACTTTTCACTTTGGCCCTTCACTACACTTCAGCAGATTCTCTATTTATTGAGTTGTGTTCATTTTTCAGATTGTGGAACAATACATTTTTTCATTTCAGATTTTTTTTTCAATTTTTAGATAACATTCCAGACGTATATACATTACATTTTCATATTCTTGAATGTAACATGTAAAATACAGTAGGTAACGAATAGAATTCATTTTTCATTGATGTTGTTTCACCCTGTATTTTTAATTATCTAGGTGACAGCCGAAATATTTAAACAATTGTTACAGAAACAACAAGGGAGGCTTAAAAAAACTTCTATAGTTAATTACTGAGTGATCTGATTATTGTTTATCAAACCCTGAATAAGTAAGATGAGCGATGGCATATTCTTAGATATTATTAAGGTTTACATCCCGAGTGCACCAACTGTAGTTGGTTAAAATATGTGCAAATCTATAATTTTTTAAATTCAAGGTATAATATTTGGATTTTATTTTGGATTACTATACAAAAAAAGCATTTGCTTAGGATCAAAATTTTTAAAATCATAGTATTACAGGCAATTTATAGATTGAGCTTGGTGTACAAGGGGTATATTTTGAATTTTCCAGAAAAAGAAATGATAATAGAAACTAAAAACTTAGTTTCAAAATCCAAATTTTAGGATTCATGTGAAATATGAAAACCAATATATGTTGATTTCCATCGGTTGAACGGCTCCAGTGCATTTAATCGCCGTAAAACTTTGTAAAAGCCATCTAGTCTTTGATTGTTTCATCGTTTTTATGCGTTTTGAGAAATAAAAAATGACACACACAATCCTCGAAACAGTTCAGATATGCACTTTTTGGTATGTTCTTGATCTCTCTCGGCGACTCGATTTTTATCTTCTCAATCATCGCAGAACGCCGTCCTTTCATGGGTCTCTTCAATTTTGGGAACAGGAAAAGTCGCAGGAAGCCAAATCTGGTATATACGGCGAATGAGGCAAAATTACGATGTTGTGTTTGCCCAAAAAATTATGAATTAGATATTACGAGTGAGCAGGTGCATTTTCGTGATTCAAAAGGCATGAATTGTTTTTCCACAATACCGGACGTTTTCTTCTCCCAAGCGGCGCATAACTTCAACATAATAATTCTTGTTCACCGTACGGCCATGTGGCAAGAACTTCTGATGCGCCACGCCACGGCAATCGAAGAAAAAAAACATTGAGCAAAACCTTGACATTTCATCGAACTTGGGACGATCGGATTTGGATTCGATGTCATAACCATATACCCATGATTCATAACCAGTTATGACCCCTTTAAGCAAATCTGGATCGCCGTTGGCGTCATTCAACAATTCTTGAGCGATGCTCACACGACGATTTTTCTGGTCAAAATTCAGCAATTTTGCAACGAACTTCACTGCCACACGCCGACCGATATGCCGACATCCTCAGTAACTTCTCTAATAGTGCGATTCTCCATAACAATTTTCTTCACTTTCTCAACATTTTCATTGATTGTTAATGTGCTTGGGCGTTCAGGGAAAGTGTCATCATTCACATCTTCTCGATCTTCTGTGAAAAGCTTGTACCACTTGTAAAAAAATGTCTGTCTAAGAGTACAATCACTATATGCCACTGTCAACAGTTCAAGTGGTATTGAGCACTCAATTACATCAATGTAAATTCCATGATCCATTTTTTCGATTGCAGAAAATCGCCGAACATGTAAAACACTTCTAACTTTTATGCCTCTCACCAGGGAACTAAACATGCTAAACAGTTGAAACTGTTAACATATGTTCAAGACGAGTGTTCGACTAGAAAAAATCGGTAATCAAATTTGAAAATTTACCTCATTTTTTGAACAGACCTCGTATAACTTCTAACACTACCATATAAGAACATTATGTCTGCGTAAGAAGATGATACTTCCAACAGCCTGATAGCTTAGCGAAAAGGGACTCTTTTTAACTCCATCACAGAGATAAGTGCCCCTACCCCGCACAAAAAGTGTTCTCTTAACCGAAGGATAATAACTTTAAAGGGTTCTCCGTTCCGGAATATGGAGAGAATTCCTGATGAGCAATTGCATCACAGCGTCATAATGCTTCATAATGCTCTTTGAAAATAACTTGATACTCATCAACAGGGGATGGAAATAATATTGCCACTGTGAAGGCGAGGTTTGCGAACTAGTAAGAATATATTAGATTAGTTTAGATAGTGATAAGAGTAGCATAGTGGTAATGAAAAAAAGTAAAATACGCTCTGGCGACGAAGTCTTTTTATAGCAGATTCTCGCAGATTCATAGGAAAGAAGTTCACTTCACATTCATATTCAATAGAACAAAAACTGTTAGGTGGTTAAATTAGAAATTTTACAAATTATACTGTGCTCCAAATTCTATTACGTTACCGTTACAATAGACAGCACGTGAGTTGACTAACTTTGTTTAGTTTAGATAGAAAATATAGTCGTTGTGTTTACTACCTAGTTTTAGGCAAATGACATAGATAATACATTATAAAGGTAATCAAACTGATTCAAATAAACATATAAAGGTTTTATGTGAATTAGTAAAAACAAATAACAGAATAATCTTGATACAAGTGAGTAAATCTCGATATTTCTAAATACAAAAATAGATCACTTACCATTGTTTAAAATTATGCCTTTATCTTTATTACTTGTCATGTCTTGAGGATCAGTAAACCGTCTGCACACATTTGTCCATGACTACAACCTTCATGGTTATTTCTATCTCAAACTCAAATCGAAACGTTTGCTACTATATATCTTTGACTTGACCATGAGTCACAGATGTTTAAGTTGTCTGAAGAGGTTATCCGTTGCATTCATTGTCTGCATTGACAAGTTTTCATCTTATAACAGGTGATTAGGATCAACTCGAGATCAACTGTATATCTACATGAAAATTGTATGTTTTTTGGAAATTTCATTGTTTGATGTTTGCTCAGGGTTTGGAAGGGTCTATGAAACTAAACTGGGACAACTGAAAATGTGCATTTTGTTTTTGCACGTGGATCCTAATCCCCCCGAGGGACACTATAGATTGATTGTGGCAACTAACAGAGATGAGTATTACAAAAGACCATCCAGGAACGCATTTACAGATGAATCTAATATTATAGGAGGTAATATTTACAAAAATAATCATTTTGGAACTGTCTCATATTCCGATGCCGTAACTATTGGGATGAACTATTTTGCAGGTCAGCAAATTGTTCTCAGTAAACATTGCTCTTGTAATTTTGTAGGAAGGCTGAAATTATTGCAGGTCCCAGATAAGAAACACCGACTGAAAAATTTCCCTCCCCCCCCCATAGGGTTTAACATACCTTTCCGTCGGCCTTGCAGGTCTACGGAATTTCTTGGAGGATGGGCTTCTAAGATAAGAATCCCGACCAAATCAATCAATTTCGGTAATGAAAATTCCAATCCCCACCCTCCGTGTAAATAAAAGTTTCACATTTTCTGCAAATTTGAAAATAAACCTTGCAGGTCGACAGAAATTCTTGCAGGTTAGACCTCTCAGATAAAAATCTCGACCAGAAAAATTTCCAATCCCATGTGTGAAAAAATTTCACATTTCTCACATAATTGAAAATAAACTTTCCAGGTTGGAGGAAAGTCTTGCAAGTTGGGCTTCTCAGATGAGAATCTTGACCATATTATTTATTTTCGACAAAAAAATATAATTCCCGCCCATTGGGTTGGAAAAAAAATGTCTTGTAAGATCAATAATAAACCTTGTAGATCGGATCGAGTTTGAAAAAAAAATTAAACTTCTCGTAAGATCAATAATAAATCTTGCATGTCGGCAAAAATTATTGCCGGTCAGGTCTCCCAGATATAAATCTCGACCAGTTTAATCATGTCTGACAGAAAAATTTCCGACCCCCACCCACCGTGTGTGAAAAAATTTCACATTCATCGCAAAATTGAAAATAAATTATTTTCTGTCGGAAATGATTGTTTTTGGTAGTTTTTTTTATCTGGGAGGCCCGACCCGCAATAATTTCAGCCTTTCTACACGATTACAGGTCTGAACTGCAGACCTGCAAAATAGTTGGACCCGTAATAATTTGGATTTAGAATGATTGCTTTATTTACACTAAAAATTATATAAAAAACTAAGCAATACAGTTTATTGTATGATTTTCACTATAGTGAAAATCATATAATAAACTGTATTGATTAGTTTTTTAATATGGATTTTCATCAAGTATCGGCCAGTTCTATTCAATTAAAAATTATATATGTGATATCAAACATGGCGGTTATTAAATTGTAATAAAGAGGTTTGAAGGAAACTACTTACACAGGGTAATTCAAAACAATTTTCACAAAGATCATTTGTTTAATATTTTATTATTATTGGACTTATTATACATTCAACCTAACGGTACCAGGTAATGGTTACCAGGTGTATAAGTAGCAATATTGAAATGAATAAAAAAATCAACATGCGTCAATTTTTATGACGATAGGCTTTACTGTAAAAAATGCATATTCCAGCAAAAATTGGAAATTTTGAGTTTACGAAAGAAATAGTTACAGGCCAATGAAAAAAAGTTTTTTATCATCAGTCTGAGGCAATAATGGATTAAGATAGAGGCTTGTAGGTGCTGCCCAGAGCTCCGCAAAGCTCGGAGCGCCTCGCATTGAAAAAACAAGTTTAGAGTGGGACGGAATGAGGGAAATACATAGAGAAAAAGTGATTAGAGAATAGAGGAATAGAAACTCGAAGAGGGAAATATAGGTATCACACAGCTGCACGCATTAAACTTTATCGACGAATTTTTGTTATTTTGGCTTGTAAATTTAAAGTTCATCCATGTTTTCTTGAATTATTTCATTTTTCACAGCCAGATACAATTTTGCTGCGCATGCAGATACAGAAGTTCAACATATGTTAAATAGTTTCAAAATGTATAAGTAAACAAATTTGTAAACATACATCATTATTATTATTATAGTCAGGAAGTGTATGATAAACCTTTTGATTGACGTGATGTTATTGTCATCCGCGCATATAAATACCTACATGACGAAAAAAATTATAACTCCCTAATTTTGTCTAATTTTGTCCTTATATATAAGAACATTTTAAAACTTATACAATACATAAGTTTGAAAATGTCCTTATAGAACGAAACTGCATCAATTATCTGATTAATTAATCATCATCTTTATCACGAACGAGTTTCTGTAATCAGCTGTGATGGCGTCATGGCAACAGAATTCAGAGTGGGACGGAATGAGAGAGTAATACATAGAGAAAAAGTGAATAGAGAATAGAGGAATAGAAACTCGGAGAGGGAAATATAGGTATCACACAGCTGCATGCATTAAACTTTATCGACGAATTTTTGTTATTTCGGCTTGCGGAAATCGTCAGATTATATATTTTTCGTTATCCTTGAATTATTTCCTT